CGCCGGGAGGGGAACCGGGGAGGGTCGGTGATGCTGGGGGTACCCAGCGCTGTCCGGGGGTCGCCAGTGTTGTCCAGGGGTTCCCAGTGCTGTCCGGGGGTTCCCAGCGCTGCTCGAGGTGTCTCCAGTGTTGTCCAGGGGTTCCCAGTGCTGTCCGGGGGTTTCCAGTGTTGGTCGGGGGTTCTCGATATCATCTAAGGGTCTTTATTCCTGCTAAGGTGTCCCCAGTGCTGCTTGGGGGTCCCCAATACTATCTAAGGGTCTCTATTCGTGCTCAGGAGTCCCCAGTGCTGCTCGGGATGTCCCCAGTGCTGTCCGGGGTGCTCCCAGTACTGCTCGGCGGTCCCCGATAACATTTAAGGGTCTTTATTCCTGCTCAGGTGTCCCCAGTGCTGCTTAGGGGTCCCCAATACTATCTAAGGGTCTCTATTCCTGCTCAGGAGTCCCCAGTGCTGCTCGGGGTGTCTCCAGTGCTGTCCGAGGGTTCCCAGCGCTGTCCGGGTGTCCCCAGTGCTGCTCGGGGGTCCCCAATGCTTTTTGGGGCTTCTCGGTACGATCTAAGGGTCTCCATTCCTGCCCAGGTGTCCCCAGTGCTGCTCGGGGGTGCCCGATACCATCCAAGGGTCTCTATTCCTGCCCAGGTGTCCCCAGTGCTTCCCGGGGGTCCCCAGTGCTGTGTGGGGGTCCCCGATACCATCTAAGGGTCTCTATTCCTGCTCAGGAGTCCCCAATTCTGCTTGGGGGTCCCCAGTGCTGCTCAGGGGTCCCAAATGCTGTTTGGGGGTCTCCAGTGTGATCCAAGGGTCTCCATTCCTGCCCAGGTGTGCCCAGTATGATCTAAGGGTCCCCATTCCTGCCCAGGTGTACCCAGTACAATCTAAGGGTCCCCATTCCTGCCTAGGTGTGCCCACTACGGTCTGAGGGTCCCCATTGCTGCCCAGGTGTGCCCATCCCTGCCCAGGTGTGCCCAGTGTGGTCTGAGGATCCCCATCCCTGCCCAGCCGTGCCCCTCTCTGCCCATCCCTGCCTGTCTCTCGGCAGGCAGCGATGCCCGCGGAGCCTCTGATCTGCACCGACACAGCCACGCGGTGAGTGCTTGTCCCTCCTGGCTCCACACGCTGTGCCCTGTCCCTGCAAGGTGTGGTGTCCCTCACCCTGCTGTCCCCATCGTGCCCTGGCACGGTGGCACACGTCCCTGCAGGGTGAGCTCCGTGCTGAACAGGGATGTGAAGCAGTTTGGGAAGCAGCACATGTTTGACTCGAGCGAGGAGACCTGCTGGAACTCAGACCAGGTGGGGCTGGAGGGGAGGGACAGGAGCTGTGCTCACACACAGCCCCTCGCTGTGCCCCCTGTGAGGGATCCCTGGTGTCCTTCCTGCCCCCAGGGCACGTCCCAGTGGGTCACCCTGGACTTCCCTCGCGCTGTCAAGGTGTCTGAGCTCCACATCCAGTTCCAGGGGGGATTCTCCAGCCGCCTGTGCACGCTGGAAGGTGAGGTTTGGGGTGAGGGGGGTCCCTCTGCCTCAGTTTACCCACAGCTGTTTGTTGCAAGACCCTGAGGGATTTGTTAGCCAAACCCCAAGAGGGGCTGAGGCTCTGGGCTGGAGCAGGGAGGGGTGAATGGGATGGGGATGGGATTCTCTGGGTGCTGATGGGAACCTGGTCCAGCCCAGCACAGGGAGGATTTTGGGACAGTCATTGGAGGCTCCTGCAGGACCTGATCCTCCACCTTCACCCTCCACAGGCTGCAGAACTGGTGAAGAACTGGTGAAAATATCTGACCTGTACCCTCAAGACACTCATGCCATGCAGATATCCTTTGCCATGCTGGGTTGAAGCCCTTGGTGGGTGAGTTCAGAGCCCCCCAAGGCTGTGGAGGGGCAGACAGGGGAGCAAGGGCAGAGCTGGGATTAAAATAACAAACCTCTGGGTACCTGGTGGGACTTTGGTACTGCTAGAGCTGCTCAGCAGAGCTGGAACATCCAGACATCCCCCACTGCAGGGTGAGGCCCTTGGAGCAGGTTTCCCATGTGCCATGACATCCCAGTGCCTGTTTTATTCCTTCACAGCCCCCATACAGATTCCAGGTGGAGGAGACAGTGCTGGATAAGCTGAAGATCACCTTTGAGAACAGCACAGACTTCTTTGGGAGGATCGTGGTGTACCACCTCGGGGTGCTGGGGGAGAGGCTGTAGGGGAGCAGCAAGGGACAGCACAGGGGGCTGTCCCCATCCCCTGGGGGCTCTTCATGGCACAGCAGTGACAAGGGGACACTGGTGCAGAGATCCATGGGCAGGACTTGGAGCCTTTGGTGGGACACAGGTGTGTAACTGAATAAATGATGTCCTTACTCCTTCCTGGCTGCTCCTTGGGCAAGGACTGAGCCCTCTCCAGGGTTTGGCATGTGTGTGGCTTGAGCAGGAGAGAGGAGAAGTGTTCCCTGCATGTGCTGAGCTGTCTGTCACCTTTGCTGGCCATCCCTGAACATCTCAGAGTGGCTCCTGTGTGCCAGCTGAGGTTGTGCCAAGGCTGTTGGGGTGATGCTTCCTGCAGGTTTTGTTCCTGTTTCCCTGGCTGTGTGCAGGGAGGGCTTGGCAAGTTTATGGGAGCTTCCCTCTTGAAGTCCTGGAGAGGAACACCAGGGTGCTGGAGGAGGTTTTGACCCAGTTCCCCTCATGGTTCCCCAGGAACTGGGACTGGGAACAGGAGCTGGGACAGACTGAGGCAAAGGACAAGGATCCACAGAGCTGCTCAAGAGTTTATTTCCAATAATGTGGTACTGGAATACATGGAGCAGCCAAGCCCAGGCAGGGCAGAAACTGCCCTGAGGAAGGAGTGTCCCTGGGTGTGAGGCACTGTGGCTGTGCCTCCCCCAGGAGAGACATGGATCCACTGAGGGAAGGGATTCCTGGATTCCTCCGCATGGTCCTTGCCTCAGGCATTGTGCCATGGCCACTATGGGCCAGGGGGTGAGGCTGTGGTGGTCCCAGAGCAGAGCTGGTGCTGCAGCCATCCAGCCCAAGCCACCACATCACTCCAGCCCCTTGTTCTGGAACAGCTTGAGGATGTGATTCTCTATAACCTGTTGGACTAAGGGAGGGAGAGAAGTGGAAGCCAAGCCTGGCAGGAGCCAGTGCTGCTGGGGGAAGGAGCTGGGCACTGGTTTGCTCCTGTTTTCTGATGGAAAACCAGCTCTCCAGGGATGTCTCCTCCTCCCCAGTCCCAGCACAGCTCTGGGTGGGAAGTGGAGCCTGAGGACAGGACTTATCTTGACCTCCCTGGATTGATGTCTGCGTGGGAGCTGTGCTGGAAGGTCAGAGAAAGCCCCAAGCAGGGCTGGAAGCTGGGAATTCCCTGGAGGCTTTGCAGGGAGGGAAGGCAGAGCTCCCTGCCAGGCAGGGAGGGAACACTCACCTTTCTTGTGTCCCAGAGCCACAGCCAGATCCATGGGGGTGTAGCCAGAATCTGCCTCCTCCGTCAGGTCAGCGCCGCGAGCTGCAGCGGGATCAGGGCATGGCACAGGCTGAGGGGACTCCCAGAAGCTGATGCTCTCCCCCCAGGGGTGTCACACTCTCTCCCCAGGGCAGGGAGCAGCGATTCCAGGCCCAGCCCCACGTGCAGAGGTGCCCATTACCTAGCAGAGCCTCCACACACTTGACGTGGTTGCCGCGCACGGCGTAGAGCAGGGGAGTGCCACCGTTCTGCCAGGGGGAGGGATGGAGTCAGTCCTGGGCTCACAGCTCCTGCTTCCCACACTGCAGGAGGGCCCTGGACCACTGGGATCCTCTTCTGCCCTCTCCCAGCCCTAGGCTGGGATCCATTGGATCCATCATCTCCCAGCTCCAGACTGGGATCCTCCTTCCTCCCTCTCCCAGCTCTGGGCTGGGACCTCCTTCCACCCTGTCCCAGTGCCAGTCTGAGACCCCTTTACAACTTTTCCCAGCTCTGGAGTGGGACCCTCATCCTCCCTCTCCCAGTTCCAGGCTGGGACCTACTGGGATCACCCTTCAACCCTCTCCCAGCTCTGGGCTGGGACCCATTGCATCCTCCATCCACTCTCTCCCACTCCAGGCTGGAACCCACTGGGACCTCCATCCACCCTGTCCCAGTGCCAGCCTGGGACCTACTGAGACCCCTTTCCACCTTCTCCCAACTTTGGGGTGGGACCCCAATCCTTCCTCTCTCAGTTCTGAGCTGGGACCCACTGGATCCTCTCCCACCCTCTCCCAGCTCCAGGCTGGGACCCACTGGATCCTCCTCCCACCCTCTCCAGCTCTGGATTGGCTGTTCCCTCACAGAGCAGCTCTGCACAGGTTCTCTACATGCAACAAACCTCCTTTGACCTGTGTGATTTAAAGCCAACCTTCACTCCCAAGCTCTGCTGCCTCATGCCTGGTGCCACCACCAGCACCAACAGCTGAGGAGAAACCATCTAAAATCATCATCCCAGTTCACTCCTCACAACAACCACATGAGAAGGATGGGAATTCACTGCTGCTCATTCCTGGTGTCCCTGTCCCTGTGCTGGTGGCACTCACCCAGTCATAGATGTTGATGTCCACGTTCCTCTCCAGCAGCATGGTGACAATGTCAGTGTAGCCACCCATGCTGGCCAGGGACAGGGCACTCTCCCTCTCCTTTGCCAGCACGTGGGGATCAGCACCCTGGGGACAGCACAGGGGTTGGCCCTAGCAGGTAACAGAGCCCTGGGGTGCTCAGAGATCCCTAGTGGGGGTCGATTGTGGAGCCTGATGGGGCAGAGACAGCTCACATGTTCCCAGTGATATCTCCTGGCCAAACTCTTCCTGAGCATGGTTTAATCATCATGGCAATGATGATTAGCATCAAGGCGGGGATCAGCACCCTGGGGACAGCACAGGGGTTGGCCCTAGCAGGTAACAGAGCCCTGGGGTGCTCAGAGATCCCTAGTGGGGGTCGATTGTGGAGCCTGATGGGGCAGAGACAGCTCACATGTTCCCAGTGATATCTCCTGGCCAAACTCTTCCTGAGCATGGTTTAATCATCATGGCAATGATGATTAGCATCAAGGCGTAATGGGGATAAACTGAAAGAGGGAAATTTAGGTATTGGAAGCAAAGTTTTCCCTGTGATGGTGGTGAGTCACTGACACAGGTTGCCCAGGGAGGCTGTGGTTGCCCTAACCCTGTCAGTGTTCAGAGTCAGGTTGGATGAAACCTTGAGCAACCTGCTCTGGTGGGAGTTGTCTCTGCCCAGGGCAGGGGGTTGGGGCTGGATCATCTCTAAGCTCCATTCCAACCCCTTAATATGTTATGATCATCAAACATCTCAGGTGAGGCCTTTAAAGCTCTTCTGTAGTGTCAGTGTTGCTGTGACTCAGCCCCTTTGCCCATCACCAGAACAGCATCACTGTCCTGTCTGAGTCCCTGTACAGCATCCACTGTCTGTTTTTCACTGATTTCCATGGAAATCCCCCATGCCCTCCAAGCTCTGCCAGCCCCAGCCCCTCCTGGACTTCATTATATCCTTTCTCCAAGCAACACTTCATCTATTTTGCCTTCTGTTTGTCTCTCTGGTTGTGTATTGCAGTTTTGCTGCTTAATGCTGTGACAGGGTTGGGTTGGTGCTCCTGAGGTGTGAGTGCTTGGCTGATCCTTGGATGCACAAGGTTTTGGGACTGGGCTTTGGGGAGCAGCTCAATGTGGAGTGCAGAAGGGTCTGGTTCCTGTTCTCCCCAGCACTCAAGGATAATGCAGCAGTGAGTTCATTAACTCAAGGCTGCCTCAGTGAGCACATTTGCTGGAGATTACAGGGCCCAAGTGCTAAACCTGATCTCAAATTAGCAATAAGCAGCTATTTAATTACAAACAGTTATTGCTGGCTGGGAGATAAAACTCTCCATGCTCCTGCCTGAGCTCACAGCCCGACAGGGAACAACATCTGACAGTGCCTGAGCCTGGAACTCTGCCACATGTCCTCTCTGATGCCATGGGAAGGGTTGGATGAGGAGATACCAGGATGGTGCTGGGTGATTTGGGAGGTGCTGGGATTGGAGCTGGGGATTGTCCTGTTGAGAGTGTGGCCTTACCCATTCCAGCAGGTGACGGACAGTTTCGATCTCACCAAAGGCTGCAGCCCAGATCAGGGGGGTGAAACCTCTCTCATCAGGTTTATTTACCAAGTTCTCACCTGCACAGACATAGATGAGACAGCAATAGGAAAGGTAAAGCCTCCTCTGCTCCCTGTCTTCCCAGTAAAACCACCAAAGGCTGGAAAACTACCCTCACTGGCTGGTTAATCATAGCCATCAAGGTTGGAAGAGACCTCTAAGATCAATGGTTGGACCTGATGAGCTTCAAGGTCTTTTCCAACCTTAAGGATTGTAGGATTGTATGAAGACTAAGCTGAGGGTGTGAGAGGATCACCAGCTAGGACTGGCAGGACATTTAGGGTGGTCAGGGACTGGGATATTGCCCAGGGAGGTGGTGGAGTCACCATTCCTGGAGATGTTTAACAGGCATCTGGATCTGGTGCTGCAGGAACTGGTTTAGGGGTTGCAGCAGTGACAGGATAAGGGTTGGACTTGATGATCTCAGAGGTCTCTTCCAACCTTGATAGTTCTATGACTCTGCACAGGGTGAGAGCCCAGAGGGACATACCTTTCCTAAGGTGTTCTTTGAGCTGGCTGAGCTCCCCTTGGGCTGCAAGTTGGTGGATGGACAGTGCTGGGGGAGAGAAAGAGTTCAGCCATCAGGACAAAACCTGCTGTCCCCCTGTCCCCTCCACACCCAGTCTGACACAAACATCCCACCCTGCCTGGTGGCACTCACTGTCCAGCGTGGCTGGGAGGGCTGAGACCTCATTGCCTCGTTGCCTGTTGGTCAGTGTGTTGGAGTGCTTCAGGGGAAAACCTGTTCCAGAGAGAGGAGAGAGTCAGGGCACAGCTCTTTTGTGCCCAGGGAGAAGCTCCTTCCAGTGCTTTCAGGGGGAACTTGGTGCAGAGAGAGTAGAAACCCAGGGTATGGTTCTTCCATGCCCAAGGAGGAGCTACGTGAGAACTCAGGTCTCTCTGAAGCTGTTTCCTGGCAAAAATAAAAAGGGATTGCTCCCTTGAAAATAGAGCTGGAAGCTCAGGTGTGATCAGTGCTCAGGGACCAAGAGCTGAGCATGGAGATAAACCACCCAAAGAACTCCCAAGGAGGAGCAATGTTCACCCAGGCAGGACCTGGCATTGAGGGCATAACTGCACGATTTATACACACTCTCAGGTTCATCCTCACATCTTCTGCCACTTGGAACCTCAATGTGTTTCCCACCAGCGATTCCTAGTTTTGTTAGGGGAAGGACATGAAGAGAGTTTCCCATCGCAGTTCCACTGTGTGGAGCTGCAGCGACCTCTCACTGCTGGCACAAGGCATCACCAAGGGCTGGAAGAGACTTGGCTCGAGGGAATGGCACCAGTTAGAGACTTTTCCAGCAGGTTTTGTGGGCTGAGAGACACGGGGCACCTGTCCCACACTTGTCCCATCCTGGGGCTGAGACTCAGGTGACCTGTCCCACACCTGGGAGCCCCAGGTGACCTGTCCCACACTGGAGCTGATGTCCAGGTGACCTGTCCCACACCTCTCCCCCCTGGGGCTGTCCCACCCCAGCTGGTTGCCCCAGGCTGTGCACACTCACTGTCGAGGTCTGGGGGCTCAGTGCTGCTCTGGGGGTCCATGGAGGCAGCTGAGAGGTTCCTGGGGGTGTCAGCTCCACCTGCAAACCAGAGTGACCATCAGGGACCCTGAGACCACCCACGGGGACCACGCTGGGCTCCACATGTCCCATCAGATACAGCCAGGAACCCCAGCCTGGGGACAGAGGGGAGATGGATCCTGCTGATCTTGATTTCCAGAGGGGCAGACGCTGCAGGATCTGGATCCATGCACATCCAGAGGGGAAAAGGATCCCTTAGATCCTGATTTCCAGGGGGGCAGACGCTGCAGGATCTGGATCCATGCACATCCAGAGGGGAAAAGGATCCCTTAGATCCTGATTTCCAGGGGGGCAGACGCTGCAGGATCTGCATGTCCCACCTTGGTTCCCATCACTCACCATCTGCACATTCCAGCCGTGCTACGTCCTGCTCCTTCTGCTGACATCCCGTGGGGACAGCGCTGTCCCCCTCGTCCCTGGTCGCTTCCAGCTCCTCCGCTCCTTTTCCAACCCTGCTCTCCTTTCCCTCTCCCCGCACTTCAGGAGGTTCCCACGATCCTCCCCGACAGCTCCTCCACGTCCCACGGCGCAGCAGCGTTGGGAAGCACTGGGGATGGATACGGGGACAAGGATGCTGCTGACACCCCAAGCACTCACGACCTGCAGCACAGTTTGGGGTCCCGTTCGCCTCCCCACGAGCACCCCCGACGGGAAGAAGCCTCGCAAGGGGAACTCCTTTTCCCCAGCCTCTCTCGGGGGTGTCTGGAGGAGGATGAGGCTCCTCCAAGCACTGATGCGCCGCGTTCGGACCCAGCGCGTCCCTTCCCGTCGGGGCTGGACGGGGCGGTGGTGGTGCAGCTCCTCCTGCCTGCTGACGGCTGGGGGCGGGCAGGCCGTGTTAAAGCGACAGCAGGGACAGGACGGAGTGGCCGTGGAGCGCCAGGACACGCTGACCCCGCGGGACACACGTCGGGGACACATGGGGCACACGATGCCCACCTCGGTGCTTGTCCCACGGGGGGATTCACGTCCTGCTGCAGCCCCCAGACCCAATCCCCGCGGGTCTGGGCAGCACAATGGGGATGTGAGGGGATACGTGGCCATCGCGAGGTGGATGTGGGGGACCCGCAGGT